TGGAAAGAATTCGTTTCGCATTAGAATAAATTACAGCAGCAGAGGTCAGTGTAAATGCGATTAGTATTACCCCAGAGACGCGGCATCTCTTCAGAAAGGTGAGAGACTCGATCAGCTGAGCCTTCTTATCCCGGAGTTTGTTGAAGGATCTCAAAGTTATGTGGAAACCCTCCCCGTAGAGGCGGTTAAATAATTTTGATTTAATTCTTTCGTGACTGCAGGGATTCATATTCTTGGTTCTTTCGGTAAAGTCACGTATAAGGGGTAGTTGAGTGAGTGGGTGAGTGGGTGGTTGAGTTTGTGGGTGAGTGAGTGGGTAGTGGAGTGAGTTTGTGGGTGAGTGAGTGGGTAGTTGAGTGAGTGGGTGAGACAGTGGGTAGTCGAGTGAGTGGGTGAGTCAGTGGGTAGCGGAGCGAGTTAGTGGGTGAGTGAGTGGGTAGTTGAGTGAGTGGGTGAGTGAGTGGGTAGTTGAGTGAGTGGGTGGGTAGTTGAGTGGGTGAGTGGGTAGTTGAGTGAGTGGGTGAGTGGGTAGTTGAGTGAGTGGGTGTGTGGGTGAGTGTGTTGTTGTGATGCGGGTCACCCACCCCCTCGTGTACCGTTCCGGTCTTCATCGGTGCTCGCTAAAAGCACTTACCCCAATAGTCTGTTCAAGGCTATGCAGGGGATCGTTGTATTTGTCTTTGTTGCTGTGACCTGCAGTGTCGTGGCTGAGTGGGTGAGTGAGTCAGTAGTTGAGTGAGTGTGTTATCGTGAACCGCAGTGTCGTGAGTGTGTGACTGACAGTCCTCCAATCCAGCAGTGGATCGATCACGGCTCACGATAGTGGCCCAATTATTGTACCGGGCTCGCCTCTGTGCGCCGAGTAAAATGTCTCACGACGTGATGATGTAAATAAAAACAACATCAGTGGAGCTCTGTGAACGTCTCTCTGTGCAGGGTAGGTGTAGATTATTTAGATTATTTGGCTGCTGTAGATTGCCTCGCGACAAGCCACCTCGTTGAGCTATCATTTGTGGCCAGGTCACTTCTGAAAAGCGAATGGCTCAGAGGGCCTTACGTAGTAAGATAGAAAACATTGTTTAGTTTTATTTGTATAGATTATTTTAAGTGATTTGTTCTCCTTGCCAATACTTTGCAATTATATAGTATATTTGGATAATTTGTTATTGTAACGTTCTGACCCCGTGCCCCTTGCTGGACATTTGTGAAAAAGAGCTTCATAGCTCATCGGATTCCTCCTCCAGTATAAATAAATATTTTGATGCAGTGGTCTCGTGGGCTGTTTAACCATACTTCACCGTGCCGGTCAATGCGCGTTCGTGTACGCTGGCTGCCCGGGACTGGATTAGATATCGCTCGCAACTAATTTTAGCCACGACCGAGAGGTGAACTCCGTTTGCCGGATCGGTGTCGTGGGTGCGCCAACCACTGCGCCACCGCTCCCAACCTCACAGCATAACTGCCGTCTGGAACGCTCTTCCTTCCCAACATTAGGAAACCACGGGAGCTATGCACTTTTAAATAATCGAGAGTGACGAAATGATTTCTTCAGAACTTGCTTCTCGCGCTTAGTTCATTATCCTCCAATTAGCACGGCTGGATACGTACGGTGCGAACGAAGTTCAACAATACAATAAGCAATGAACACGCGAGGGCCCTGTTGTAAATCCACCGCTGAATGTGGGCCGCCGCGTGCCACTGCTGGTCGCGGGGGCTATCTGATCATACTCCACCACGCCGGTCAGGGCAAGTTCATGAAGGCGGGGAGCAGAGACGTGGGAGCATAGTGCAATGCAACAATGGGTGTCGCTGCACCGCCGCGTTAAGTGACCACAGTTTCCTCCTGCAGCAGCCTGCAGCCGCCTGCATTGTGCTCGGTAGGCGGAGGAAAGCATTCCGCAGTGAACACTTTGCATTCATCCTTAAGCGCTTACGTCCTGGCGTTCTTGGTGTAGTTTCACGTGCACAACTCACACTCCGGTGCCACTGCTTCGTGGCGAAATGTTGACTACTTCAGCTGGTTTGTGCAGGAGGTCGTGGGTTTGATTCCCGACCCTTAACGCCTGCTGCTGAATAGTTGGGGTCTGCGTTTCGCTCTAACCCGTGGTCGCGGGGATTTTTCTCCGGGTCCTCCGGTTTTCACCTCCACATTTAGAACCACGCGTTTAGAGTATTTGGCTGCTATACATTTACACGTGATAAGCCACTTCGTTGTGCTATCATTTGTAGCCAGGTCGCTACTGAAAAATTGCTACATATAGCTCAGTGGCTTTGCAACCGATACAACCATACAGCAAACCCATCGAGTTATGTACGGTTACAGAGACACCCGCAGAGATGCATTAACGAGACAAGCCACGTTCGTGCGCCTTTTGGCAATGCAACCCATACAACAATGTCGTAAAATCACTCGAATCAACGGAGGAGGGACATTGAACGGAGGAGGAATAGCGACACGACACGAACACTCTCTCTCTCTCTATGCCGAAGCCCTCTCCTCGTGATCAGGAGCATCAGCAGCAGTCGAGCAGCTGCACCGCATTAGCAGCTGCCATCATCATCATCACCACCACCACCATACCCGACCTGCCAATAGAATACCTGTAACCCAGTGTTCTTCATTGCACGACCTCCTGTAGACCAGACGAGCTCGTTAACATCTCGCCACCGCGGCCGTCCGTCTCGTTGTATCGCCCATCCCGTAGCACAGTCAGGGGTGGATATGGCACCGCCTCGACGCTCACGGGTAGAGGGGAGTTCCACAACCCATCCGTGCGGTGTTCCACCAACCCTCGCTGCTGCCTCCACAGTCCTGGATTACAGAGGGCCGTATGCCGTAGCAGCGGAGCCAGCACCGCTCAACCTATCATCATCATCACCATCATCACCATCATCACCATCATCATCACCATCATCACCATCATCATCACCACCACCATCATCATCACTATCATTACCACCATCATCACCATCATCATCACCATCATCACCATCATCACCATGATCACCACCAACACCATCATCATCACCACCATCATCACTATCATTACCATCATCATCATCATCACCATCATCATCGCCATCATCATCATCATCACCATCATCACCACCATCACCATCATCATCACCACCACCACCATCATCATCACCACCACCACCATCATTACCATCATCATCACCATCATCACCACCATCATCACCATCATCACCATCATCATCATCACTATCATTACCACCACCACCATCATCATCACAATCGTGGGTAACATCACACGTTGGGCGATCGCACCTCCCAGTGGTCATCGTCGCAAGGCCACGCGGGCCACTTGGCGGCCCCTGGTGGCCTTTAGTGCGGCCCCCCCCCCGACAACGCACACAGAGTGACAACAACAACAACACCCCCCACATAGTTTAACACGCAGACTTTCGCGACCAATATCATCCCTACTACATATTCTTGGTTCTTTCGGTAAAGTAACGTCGACAGAAAAAAAAAATAACAAGTAAAATGTATGAAATAAAAATGTAAAATTTAAATAATAAAAATAACAAATTGAAAATAATAAAAGCAAAAAAAACATAATATAAAAATAAAAAATAGTAAAATAAAATCAAATTAAAAATTAAAATAAATTGAAAATAATTAAAGCAAAAAAACGCACGACGTTTCGATCGCAACACAAGCGGTCTTCATCAGGCGGAGCGGTGGGGGGTTTGTTTTAAAATTAGTGCGGCGACCCCACACACACACACACATACCGATGATGATGATGATGACATCTGAGCGGAGAAAGTGTCACCACCACCACCACCACCCCCTCCTCCCTCTGTGAACGAGCGAGAATCAGTGCATCCTCGACGGAGGTACGAACACCTCTCTCTCCCGCGTTCCAATTGTCACTGCCGGGCCGATGCCGCAGAGCGGAATGCGTGGGCGTTTGTTCCAAGTGCCGCGCCTGGAGAACGGCTCGAATTTAATCGGCGAACCTTTTTTTTTTTTGGACGAGCCGGTGCTGTTTCGGGGGGGGGGGGGGGGGAGGGGGGCGGTGGGTATCGTTGCGTCGAGCGCCGCTAGCCCCATCATAACACCGGCGGCCAGCATTTGAAACCTCGCTCTAAATATAGTCTGGGTCTGCTGCTGTGTGGCTGTCTGGGCGGGCCGGCGCTCACGCGATGCGAACGGTGGCGTGGCGTGAGTCGCGGGGAGAGATAAAGACTCCCCCCCTCCCTCCCCTCGCCCCGTATAGCTCGCACGCTCGATTGGGGGGCAGGTGCTGTAAGCGAGCGCCTATGAAGAAGGCCTGCAGGGAGCACGGTGGGGTGGAGGGAGGGGGGGGGGATATCACCCACGCCCGGCTGCCTTTGTTTCCCCAGCACCGCTGAAGTTTACACACAGCGCCACGTGACAGGTACTCACACGGCACCAGGTACTCAGCACCAGGTACTCACACGGCACCAGGTACTCAGCACCAGGTACTCAGCACCAGGTATTCACACGGCACCAGGTACTCAGCACCAGGTACTCAGCACCAGGTACTCAGCACCAGGTACTCAGCACCAGGTACTCACACGGCACCAGGTACTCAGCACCAGGTACTCAGCACCAGGTACTCAGTACCAGGTACTCACACAGCACCAGGTACTCAGCACCAGGTACTCGGCACCAGGTACTCAGCACCAGGTACTCACACAGCACCAGGTACTCAGCACCAGGTACTCACACAGCACCAGGTACTCAGCACCAGGTACTCAGCACCAGGTACTCACACGGCACCAGGTACTCAGCACCAGGTACTCAGCACCAGGTACTCAGCACCAGGTACTCGAGGGACCGTTTCGTATATCCGCCGCGGCCGCTACTGCCGCTACTGCCGCTGCTGCTGTTTGAAATGTCCGTGAGCGGTAATCGAACTCGGATCGCCCCCAATGGGGCGAGGGGGTGGGGTGGGTTGGGTTGGGGTGGGGGGGGATGTCGAAGCGCGGGGTGCGCTAACCGCTGCGCCACCGCTCCCCGCACGCCAGCCCCTCGCCCCAGCCGCCACTCGCTGTGTGGGGGACCTCCCGAGTCCACGGACTCCACGTGCCGCCTCCAAAGTCATTTCGCGAAAGCAAAAGCGACGGACTGCTGCCAAAAACACCGGGGCCTGCTGCCTCCACTCCCGCTACGGTCCTCCGACAGCGAGGTGCAATCCTACTGCTGCTGCTGCTGCTGTTGCACATGCAGCTGTCGCTCACTGCTGCAGCTTTCGCTGCTGTTGTAGAAACTGCTACTACCGCTGCTGTGACTATTGCTGCTGTCACTGCTATCACTGCTGCCGCTGATGCTGTTGTTGCAGCAACTGCTGCCGCTACTGCTGCGCGAGCTACCACTGATGCTGTTTTTACTGTCGCTACAACTGTTGCTACTGCTGCACGAGCTACCACTGCTGCTGTTTTCGCTGTCGCTACAACTGCTGCTATACTCTACTGCTGCTCCTATTACCTGCTGTTGCAGTCGCTACTGCTGCTCTTGCTGCTGCTCATACTGCTACGACTGCTGTTAACTGCTGCTGCTGGTGCTGCCACTGCTGCTGGTGTTGATATCGGGGTGCTATCGGTGTATGGGAGGGAAGTTCGTTTCACGTTAACCGGGGTCGGCTTTTGACACCGTGTTGGAACGAGTCGCAAGAGACGACCCGCATAGGACCATCGGCGTTCTCCTTCCCGGTGATGGCAAGGTGTGTTTTTTATAACTACCCCCCCAGGTAAAGGCGCGGCCCTGAAATTGCTCGCTCAAGCCACGGCTGACGGATGGTGCCTGGGTGTTTAGTTTCCACCTCTGTGCCAAGTCGCCTTGGGAGAGGTAGGAGACACAGTTCGACCCGACCGCACACCACGTGGGATCATCGACGAGTCCACACTCGCGCAGGATGATGATGATGCTGATGATCATGGTGGTAGCAGCTATACGGTGCAGGATCTTCAGCGGAGAGAGAGAGTTCGTGTCGTGTCGCTGTTCCTCCTCCTCCGTTAAAGGAGCGCAGACCGCGGTGGGTTCACTGTGTGGTCAATAGTTGTGGGTTGCATGGCCACAATCGCATCGCTGTGGCTCGTGTATTTAATGTATCCCCTATCAATCTATTTGGGTCTCTATGAGTCTACTTTATCTAGATGTGTCAATATGGGTCTCTATGAGTTATCTCTGTATCTCTTTGTGTCTCTATATGTGTTTACTGTGTGGTCCATAGTTTGGTTTTTATGGCCACAATCTCACTGTTGTGGCTTGTCTTTAATGTACCTCTATGCATCTCTCTGGGTCTCTGGATCTCTATGAATCTCCACGTGTCTCTATGAGTCTCTATGCATCTCTACGGGTCTCTATGTATCTCTACGTATCTCTATGTGTCTCTGTGTATCTCTATGCATCTCTACGGGTCTATATGTATCTCTACGTATCTCTGTCTCTGTGTATCTCTATGGGTCTCTATGTATCTCTGTGTCTCCGTGTATCTCTATGGGTCTCTATGTATCTCTGTGGGTCTCTATGTATCTCTACGTATCTCTGTGGGTCTCTATGTATCTCTGTGGGTCTCTATGTATCTCTATGGGTCTCTATGTATCTATGAGTGCACTTTATGGTCCATAGCTTGGGTTACATGGCCACCATCTCACGCCTGTGGCTCGTGTCTTTTATATTCCATTCATGATACGAGCATCGGCCTTTTGCTGTGCACTCCTATCGTGTTGTTGTAACGTTCTGACCCCGTGCCCCTACTGGGAGTCTGTGAACAAAGAGCTTCATAGCTCATCGGATTCTTCCAATCTAATTCCATTTTTGTGATTCTGATGTTCTGAAGCGGGTGACGGTTCCACCACCGGTGCATTCGAAGAGGTTTGGTGAACGTCAAAGGGAGGAGGTGTGACGATGTTTGGGTCTCGAATGAGGTGTTCATTCTTGATCGCAAACTGTGGTTTACTCATTCATATATCATACTGCTGCTGGGTGGACATACACGTATATGTGTGTCTGTGTGTGTCTCGGATTTCTTTCACAACGTATGTAGCCAACCGCGCTAATTGGAGGCGAGAAACCGCGATAATTGGAGGCGAGAAACCGCGATAATTGGAGGTGCGACCGCACTCATTGTAGGTGCGACTTGCGTGACTTTTGACTTAATTAACTCTCTCACCTGTCTATAAATACACACATGTACACCTGGATATATATAGCTATAGTCAGGTGTACATATGTGTGTATATAAAACACATGCAATATAAGTGAGCGGTTATGTTTACTGATTAATTTTACTTTCGCTTTGTAATTGTAATTCCAGACGTGCATCTCTCCGGCCCTTCCGTGCAAAAGGCTTTTCGTGGGGATTTCAAATTCGTGTGGCTGATGGAGCGGGCGTTACGTCCAATCCGGTTCTGGTATTCTGGCTACTCCGTCACGCGTTTTGGCGTTTAAAAAAAAAATCACCAAATGCCAGGAGCTGCCAAAAGGAAAGACGACTTTCACCGAGTGCACGTGTTCGGGAAATTTGGAAAATGCGAAGTGGAGTCTGAAATCAGGGCAAATGGAGTGTGGATCGCCGCACCTTGCCACTGCGTGTGTGCGTGAGAGTTTTGGTGGGGAGTGCTGGAGTCGCTGTTAGCGCTACGCTGCACTACGAAGCCGGCTACCCGGTCCTAGGCCTCCTCTAGGTCGGCTCAGTCTCAAATTAGTATCTGGTGCAATGCGTAAAAAAAACATCGCCACTGGGGAGACAAAGGCGGCCGGGCGTGTTGTCGGTCACACACACGATCGTGTGTCGTGCCGGCATTCATAGGTGCTACTCGCTAACAGCACTTTCCTCAACAGTCTGGTCAAGGCTTACCGGGGGATCTTTGTCTTTGTCTCGTAGAAGCGCTGGAGAAAGTCACGATGAAGCTCACACTGATCCTCCTTCTCAATTCGTTGGCACGAGTGGTGAGCGGTGGGCCCCAGCCCCTGCTGAGCGGTAAGCGAGTTCGGAGGAATGTCCCTCGCCTCGATCCCTTCTCTCGCTCCTAATCCAAACCCCGATCACTCCCAAGATCGCTGCGTCACCAAGGTCCTCCACACACTCTCCTACCTCTCCCCTCTCATCTCACTCCACTCCCCTCCACGCACTCTCCTACCTCTCCCCTCTCATCTCACTCCACTCCCCTCCACGCACTCTCCTACCTCTCCCCTCTCATCTCACTCCACTCCCCTCCACGCACTCTCCTACCTCTCCCCTCTCATCTCACTCCTTGCCCCTGTTTAGGTTCAAGACCTTCATCTCTCCTCCCCCGCCTCTCTCTCTCTCAGTGTGTTGAGATGTCCTTCCATTTCGATGCTGAATATAAATCCACATTGTATCGTGTCCATACCCATCATCTGGACATCTGCGATGGACTGGACGAGGGTGAAAACAAGTTACGTGGCGCATCGGATTCCTCCAGGCTACATACAAAAAAACATTCTAAAGATTCGAAAAGTTATGATCAGCAGCAGCAACAGTGGCAGTTGCGGAACTGGAAACTGGCTGCGAAACTGGTTGCAGAGACGTCCACTTGCAGGTGATTCGGTTGCAAGTGAGCGCCTTCACCACGGCCAGACAGGGCCGCGGTGGCTAGGAGATGTTAACTACTTCACCTGGTATACAGGAGGTCGTGGGTTCGATCCTCACTCTGACAACTGCTGTATATTTGGAGTTTTCGTGTCTCTCTCTCTCTTTCATCATCATCATCACGTTGGCTAGATGTTAACTACTTCACCTGGTATACAGGAGGTCGTGGGTTCGATCCTGACCCTGACACCTGCTGTATATTTGGAGTTTTCGTGTCTCTCTCTTTCATCATCATCATCACGTTGGCTAGGAAATGTTAACTACTTCACCTGGTATACAGGAGGTCGTGGGATCGATCCTGACCCTGACAACTGCTGTATATTTGGAGTTTTCGTGTCTCTCTCTCTTTCATCATCATCATCATCACGTTGGCTAGGAGATGTTAACTACTTCACCTGGTATACAGGAGGTCGTGGGATTGATCCTGACCTTGACAACTGCTGTATAGTTGGAATCTGCGTGTCTCTCTCTTTCATCATCATCACGTTGGCTAGATGTTAACTACTTCACCTGGTATACAGGAGGTCGTGGGATCGATCCTGACCCTGACAACTGCTGTATATTTGGAGTCTGCGTGTCTCTCTCTTTCATCATCATCACGTTGGCTAGGAGATGTTAACTACTTCACCTGGTATACAGGGGGTCGTGGGTTCGATCCTGACCCTGACACCTGCTGTATATTTGGAGTCTGCGTGTCTCTCTCTCTTTCATCATCATCACGTTGGCTAGGAGATGTTAACTACTTCACCTGGTCTACAGGAGGTCATGGGTTCGATCCTGACCCTGACAACTGCTGTATATTTGGAGTCTGCGTGTCTCTATCCCCGTGGTCTTGTGGATTTTTCTCTGGGTATTCCGGTTTTTCTCTCCACATTTAGAATCAACGTCACGCGTTCAGAGTTATTTGGCTGCTATAAACCTCCACGTGACGATGATGAGGCTAAGCCACTTGGTTGGGCTATCATTTGTGATGGCCAGGTCGCTTCTGAAAAAAGAGCTGCTACACAGCTCAGTGGGGCCTTACCTGGCGAATTAAAAAAAAGTTAAAGCCACGCAATTTCGGGGAGCAGCTGTGGACGGTATCGGGTGTTGGGATACTGCGTTTACCCTCTCCCTCGCTCTCTGTCGCTCTCTCTCTTCCTCGCTCTCTCGCTCTCTCCCTTTTGTGTTGTGCGCGGCGCATTTAGGGCCACAGTGAGTGGCTTTAAAGTGTTGGTTATTTATACTCTTTGGTTCTATTCGGTAAAGTCACGTAGGTAAAACAAATTAAAATAAATTGAAATAAAATAAACAATTAAAACACGACGTTTCGGAGGCAAAGCAAGCTTCCGTCTTCAGGTGGGACCAGTCACAGCAAAATCGCTGCACCACCTGAAGACGGAAGCTTGCTTTGCCTCCGAAACGTCGTGTTTTAATTGTTTATTTTATTTCAATTTATTTTAAGTTGTTTTACCTACGTGACTTTACCGAATAGAACCAAAGAGTATGAATCCTTGCAGTCACGAAAGCTTCAAATCTAGAATGTTGGTTATTTGTTTGCTGGTGACTTTGTGTATTTCGTATCGGAATCGCCCCGAGTGATGTTTACTGCTGGCGGCAATAAAAGTTGTTTAAACGTCAAAAAAGTCTCTCTCTCTCTCTCTGTCCCTCTGTCTCCCTCCCTCTCCCTCCCCCCTCTCTCGTGTCTCTCGGCTCATCCTCAGGAAGCCTCCAGCCAAAGTCCCTCGAGGAAACGGAGAGCTTCATCCCAGACTCTGAGGAGTACGACGGCACGCTCGGTACGTCGATCCACTGCTGGATGAGCACCTCGCCAAACAACACGGGCCCTCGGGAGTTGACCGTGGCCACCTGGATTTGACCGTAGCCACCTGGAGTTGACTCTGACATCTGGAGTTGACCGTGGCCACTTGGAGTTGACCGTGGCCACCTGGAGTTGACCGTGGACATTGGGAGTTGACTGTGGCCACCTGGAGTTGACCGTAGCCACCTGGAGTTGACCGTGGACATTGGGAGTTGACCGTGGACACCTGGAGTTGACCGTGGCCATCGGGAGTTAACCGTGGCCACCTGGAGTTGACCGTGGCCACCTGGAGTTGACCGTGGCCACCTGGAGTTGACCGTAGCCATCGGGAGTTGACCGTGGCCATTGGGAGTTGACTGTGACATCGGGAGTTGACCGTGGCCACCTGGAGTTGACCTTGCTACCTGGAGTTGACCGTGGCCACCTGGAGTTGACCGTGCTACCTGGAGTTGACCGTGGCCACCTGGAGTTTACCGTGGCCATCGGGAGTTGACTGTGGCCACCTGGAGTTGGCCGTGGACATTGGGAGTTGACCGTAGCCACCTGGAGTTGACTGTGACATCTGGAGTTGACTGTGACATCTGGAGTTGACCGTGGCCACCTGGAGTTGACCGTGGCCACCTGGAGTTGACCGTGCTACCTGGAGTTGACCGTGGCCACCTGGAGTTGACCGTGGCCCTTGGGAGTTGACCGTGGACATTGGGAGTTGACCGTGGCCACCTGGAGTTGACCGTGACATCGGGAGTTGACTGTGGCCACCTGGAGTTGACCGTGGTCATCAGAAGTTGACCGTGACATCGGGAGTTGACCATGCCACCTGGAGTTGACCGGAGCCATCGGAAGTTAATGTCGCTTGTTTTTTATATGTAAATATTTACTTTTACTACCACAGTGTTATTGACGATCACGTTGAGTCTGTTGTTGTTGTTCATGAAGCCAGTGTAGGGGCTGCTAAGGGGAGCCAATTTTGTTTCGGACAACGGGAAGTGTTTTGACTCATATCGGGTAAACGTGAAGAGTGCAAACAGAGGGCCCTTTCATTCAAATAACCACAGGTTTACCTTCGATCCTTCTCAGCCGTAGAGCGAGCGGCTTCCAATAAAAGGTCACGAGTTCAATCCCTGGCTGGGGAGAAAGGGGGGGGGGGGGCGGGGGCAGGGGTAACTCAGCCCATCATCTCTCCGGGGGTTGACAAAATACGTACCAATCTGTGGGGAGGCGGAGGTCAACAGCGGGGTCGTCCTGTGCAGAAACTAACCCTCAAATCCCGCCATACGAACGTGGAATTTCCACCACTGGCTCAGGTGCCGTCAGCTGGAGCGAAGCACCGCCTCGACGCTCGACCGAGCAGGGAATCACAACCAGACATCACGTGACAACGGATCCCGACGCGGACTGACGACAGTTCCCGTCTCATCGGCCTGTCCCCCCGATGAACAACGCTAATTGTTCACCTGCATTTCATTGCAGATGCGTCCGATGCGAGTGAAGATTTTCATCTGGATTCTGGTAGTATCCATCCTCCTATGCGATCGCCTCATTCTTTGACATATCCACCTTTTCAAATGTCTTGCACTCCCCACCCCCACCTCTTGCTTAGATCTCAGGCGCTAAGCAGGAACTTTGAGTGTGAGTAGTGCTTAGACGTCTGGAACGCTCTTCCTTCCGACGTTAGGACGCCGCTGGGGCTATGCCCTTTTAAATCCCAATTGTAAACTCATTTCTTCGTGACGTTTGATGTCCTTTCCTCGCACCTCCAATTAGCACGGTTGGCTACGTACAGTGCGAAAGAAGTTAAACATACATACAGCAGTGAGTGGGGCATCAAAGTACATTGTTGTGCTGTGCTCTAATCCAAACATCTATGCGCCCCGCCTCCATAAAGCCTCACTTCCAAACATGTGTTCAATAATCATCCCTCCTTTATCCTCACGGCATGGGGGGGGGGGGCATCCCATCCAGCAGTGGATTGGTAAAAAGGGCAGTACGTGTATTTGTGTGCGTCATCTATCCGATCGCTCAGCGATCAATACGATCTGACGAGAATTTTAGAAGGGCCAATTCAGAAATAAATATTTTTTTTTATCAATTCTGTAATTGATGACATTACCCCAATCACAAAAAAACCCTTCACAACACAGAAGCGTGCACAAAGGTCATTTGGCCATTTGGCCTTTGTGCATTGTGCAAAAAACACCCACCAGTTACCGAAGCCCTGCATGACGACCCTCTTGTCGTAAGTCACCATCAAAATACATTTCAGCAGATGTGACCGACTCACCAGTCGCAGCGCTGAGGGCGGTTTTGTCCATATTAGGAGTCATCAGGAGAGCATAGCCACTGATGCTCACTCGAACGGATTTTAAATAAACAAAGCTACGCGTCCCCACATTCGCAGTCGGACAAAATAAGAGAATGGCACAGTGGCTATGAGATGTTAACTCCTTCGCCTGGTATGCAGGAGGTCGTGGGTTCGATCCCGACTCTAACGCCTGCTGCTGTATATTTGGAGTTTGAGTCTCTCTATTTTATCATAATCATCATCATCATCATCACGGTGATTAGGAGATGTTAAATCCTTCGCCTGGTATACAGGAAGTCGTGGGTTCGATCCCGACCCTGACGCCTGCTGCTGTATATTTGGAGTTTGCGTCTCTCTATTTTATCATCATAATCATCACGGTGGTTAGATGTTAAATCCTTCGCCTGGTATACAGGAGGTCGTGGGTTCGATCCTGACCCTGACGCCTGCTGCAGCTGCTGTATATTTTGGAGTTCGCGTGTCTCTCTCCCTCTCCGTGGTCGCGTGGATTTTTCTCCGAGTCCTCCGGTTTTTTTCCCCTCCACATTTAGTATCACCACGCAATTTAGAGTCATTTGGCCGCTATACATTCCCGCGTGATGATAAGCCACTTCGTTGAAGCTCACAATTTGTGATGGCCAGCGGGGCCTCGACCTGGCAAAAATAAAAAAAATAAGTGAAGTATAAAATCGGAGTGAAATGAAAGGGTTTGGCGTAGACGTAAAACCGTCAGGGTCCCCTGCCACCGGGAGAAACGTCGCCGTGTCCGTGCCGTGGGCAGAGGCGCGGCGGGGGGTCACGGCGCACGGTGCCAGCGGCTGTGGTGATGGTGGTGGCTGTGGTGGTGGCTGTGGTGGTGGCTGTGGTGGTGGCTGTGGTGGTGGTGGCTGTGGTGGCTGTGGTGGTGGTGGCTGTGGTGGTGGCTGTGGTGGTGGTGGCTGTGGTGGTGGTGCCTGTGGTGGTGGTTGTGGTGGTGGTTGTGGTGGTGGTGGCTGTGGTGGTGGTGATGGCTGTAGTGGTGGTGGTGGCTGTGGTGGTTGTGGTGGCTGTGGTGGTGGTGGCTGTGGCTGTGGTGGTGGCTGTGGTGGTGGTGGCTGTGGTGGTGGTTGTGGTGGTGGCTGTGGTGGTGGCTGTGGTGGTGGCTGTGGTGGCTGTGGTGGTGGCTGTGGCTGTGGTGGTGGTTGTGGTGGCTGTGGCTGTGGTGGTGGCTGTGGTGGTGGTGGCTGTGATGGTGGTGGCTGTGGTGGCTGTGGTGGTGGTGGCTGTGATGGTGGTGGCTGTGGCTGTGGTGGTGGTGGCTGTGGCTGTGGTGGCTGTGGTGGTGGTGGCTGTGATGGTGGTGGCTGTGGCTGTGGTGGTGGCTGGTGGTGTCAGGGAGCTGGCGGCGACCACACAGAGAGAGCGAGAGTCGCGGTCGCGGTGGCGGCGCGCTGTCTGGACAACAGCGATAAATCACCCCGAGTTTGTGTGGCGCTGCGCCAAGAGACGCGCCGCTGGGCCCAGCTCGACCGTGCCCGCTCGGAGCGTGGGGGAGCAGCGCGCGCGTGCACGGGAAGAGCGCTCCAGGCGAGGTGCCCTGCCACCGCGTTACAAAGCAGAGAGAGAGAGAGAGGTTTTTTTCGTTGGATAATATATTGTTTTGGTAAATTATAAATGTTGGAATATTTTCTTACAAATTGTCTAATTTTTTTTTTCTGTTAAATAATATTTGATTTGAAGCTTTCGTGACTGCAGGAAGATTAAACGTCGCACTCTGTTATTTAATTTACTTTATTTCCACGTGACTTTACCGAAAGAACCAAAGAGTAAATAATATTTATGATAAATTTATATCTTTTTCTAATTATTTCTTTAAGTTTTTATTATTTGTATTATTACTTCTCAATCTTGTTTTTTTAAAATCTTTTTTTAATCTAAAAACCATTTTAACGAAAACTACTTTTTATTTCACCAGGTGTAAGGCCCCACTGAGCTATCTAGCTATTCTTTTTCAGAGATGACCCTGGTACATCACCAAATGATAGCTGCTCAACAAAACGGCTCATCATCATCATCATCACGTGGACATTTATAGCAGCCGAATACTCTTAAACGAATGTTGATTGTAAATGTGCAGGGTAAAACCGGAGGAACCGGAGAAATACCCACGCGACCACAGAGAGAGAATCATGCAAACTCCAAATACACAGCAGGCGTCAGGGACGAGATCGAACCTACGACCTCCTGTATACCAGGCGAGGTAGTTAACATCTCCTAGCCACCGTGGCGCCCGTATGTCGGGCTTGGGCAGGACGCGTTTGCTAGAAGGGACGATGATCACAGATGGTCAAGACTAACAATAGAGTGGAAGCCGAGGGATGGAATAGAAACCTACCGGACATCCGAAGTGAGGAAATTAGTTTGCGTGTGCAGGTGAGAGGTGGCCTTCACCCAGCAGTGGATTAACCATGTCTGATGATAATGATGATGATGATGCTGTTACCGTATTAATTGGCACACCGCAGACAGTTGATCGGCGGGTTATGAGCGGTGGGGTTAAGTGTGGCTTCTGCCGACCCTTCCAAGACGCGTATCCAGCATGGAAGAGTAGGCCAAACATCCTCGAGAGCAGTGTTCACTCATTGTCAGAGGGCAGCCACTTGGGCCGATAGGACATCATCAGTGCGAGCAGGGCACCGCCGAACATTTGAAACCACGGGGGGCGTGACAGCAGCACGATGATCACGACGACGACGGCGATGATGATGATGATGTGGGGTGTCGTCGTCACTCTGTGTGCGTTGTCTGGGGGCCGCACTGAAGGCCGCCAGGGGCCGCCAGGGGCCCACGTGGCCTTGCAATGAAGAACGCCGGGCTAGACCGGCTCCCTACGAGATCACGGAAGTGCCGTCTGTATTTATGCATGGATCGAGAGAGTTGACTGCATACTACTGAGGAGCTGTTGGCATTTGAGCACGGCTGTCTGTGTGTGCCGCGTGCGGAGCGAAAGCGTAGCGGTTAGCGAGCTGCGCTATGAACCCGGCGATCCGGGTTCGAATCGCGCTCACGGCCAACACCAGTGACGTTTATCGGAACCGGTCTTGGGCCTCCCCTAGGTCGACTCAGCCTGAAATGAGTACTTAGTTCAGTGTGTAAACATCGCCACTGGGGAGACAAAGGCGGTCGGGCGTTGTGCTGGTCACCCACCCCCTCGTGTACCGTTACCGGCCTTCATAGGTGCTCGTTAACAGCGCTTGCCCCAACATTTTGTTAAGGCTACACGGGGGATCTTTGTCTTTGATCTTTGCTGCGTGCGAGACGGATGCTGGAACTCCGTGGCCAGGCCAGGAGAACAAAACACACACACACACAGTCTGGGGGAGAGCACGGGGCAGGCTGAGCGTTGTAGATGCGATTCGGCAAAAGCAGCTGCGCTGGATGGGTGGCACGCGTGGTGCAGGATGTGGGGAGAGGCAAGAGCACCCAGAACGGCGATGGAGCGAAGAGAAGGCTAACCAGCATCGGGTTGGGGAGACTGTCAGGCCAGATCTATGGGTCTCTGTGTGACCCTATGGGTGTCTCTGTGAGTCTATGGGTCTCTGTGTCAGTCTATGGATCTCCGCGTGAGTTTCTGTGTGAGTGTGTGGGTCTCCCTGTGAGTCTATGGGTCTCCATGTGAGTGTGTGGGTCTCTGTGTGAGTGTGTGGGTCTCTGTGCGAGCGTGTGGGTCTCTGTGCGAGCGTGTGGGTCTCTGTGTCAGCGTGTGGGTCTCTGTGCGAGCGTGTGGGTCTCTGTGTCAGTGTGTGGGTCTCTGTGCGAGCGTGTGGGTATCTGTGCGAGTGTGTGGGTCTCTGTGCGAGCGTGTGGGTCTCTGTGCGAGCGTGTGGGTCTCTGTGCCAGTGTGTGGGTCTCTGTGCGAGCGTGTGGGTCTCTGTGCGAGCGTGTGGGTCTCTGTGCGAGCGTGTGGGTCTCTGTGCGAGCGTGTGGGTCTCTGTGCGAGCGTGTGGGTCTCTGTGCGAGCGTGTGGGTCTCTGTGCGAGCGTGTGGGTCTCTGCGTGCCCACTGTGCAAACAGCTGCAGCTGCGGGATCTGGTGCAGGGTGTAAAGCGTTGCTAGCGAGGCGCAGGCAGTGACGGTGGCATCCACAGCTTTGGCTGTAACATCAAACCATCACGCGCACTCCTCGCAGTGGCTTCTGGCTGGCCATCAAACAAAGGCGGCAGTCACCGCATCGCCGCTCGCTTTTGGATGCGCTTCTGCTGCCGTCTGGATCGCTCTTCCTTTCGATATTATACTTTTAAATCATCACCTAGATTGACAAACTTGTTTAAAACTATACATACATCTTGGGCACCGTCAGCTGGTGAAACCACGTGCGCTGTCCGATCCACGGACCTCTGACCCCTGTGGCTGTCCTCCCCCCACCCTACCCTACCCGGCCCTGCTGCTCGTTACAGGCGAAGACGCGGATTACTTCGAGGGAGGCTTCCCCCAGGACTGCGCCGAGATTTTCAAGCAGGGAATCACCGACGATGGCATCTACACCATCCAGCCCGCGGGGTCTCGGGAGCCCTTCGAGGTTACCTTTCCCTCCCATGACAGACAGGCAAACAGTCGGACAGAGAGAGAGAGACAGACGGTGTTGCTAAGAGCAGAAACACAAAGCAGTAGGATTCAAAGCCATCGATGAGAAAATGTCATCAGCAGGAGAATGCACCAGGCAGGCTGGAAGAGCGACTTGGTTCAACAGCGCGTAGAGGTGCTGCTCACAAACGGCGGTGAGGGCACGACTCCCATCATGCATTGCGTGCACGTCTTAGACAAGGCCGAGAACGGCTCGCGATCGAAAATGTCGGTTCGTATCCTGGTTGGCGGAGGGGGGGGGGTTGACTTGGCCCATCACTCCATCCCCCGCACCTCCGATTAGCAAGGTTGGCTACGTACGATGGGAAAGATGTTCAAAATACATACAAACATCCCTCCGAGGTCAATCGAATGAGTACAGCAGTGCCATTGTGAGGGGAGTCAAATGGTTTGTCTCCTAATAATAGGGGTTTTCCCCCTTTTTTCTGGCAACAAAACTGAAATCTTTTTACAAGGATTCATGTCTGCATTAACCACAATACCTGCAGTCAAAATGCAAACAAAAAACATATTATGATAATATATGCATTGTCCTTTAAACTGATTGGTCCACACCAAGGGACGGCTTTCTTTTGAGCCTCGACCCAATTGGTGCGTACGCCTTTTGGCGTCACCTGGTCAAGCACCAATTGGGTCGAGACTCAAAAGAAAGCCGTCCCTTGGTGTGGACCAATCAGTGTCAAGGACAATGCATATATTATCATAGTATGTTTTTTGTTTGCATTTTGACTGCAGGTATTGTGGTTAATGCAGTCATGAATCCCTGTAAAAAGGTTTCAGTTTTGTTGCCAGAAAAAGGGGAAAAACCCTATTATTACATTTTGGTACTGGCAAAGGAGGTCTAATGATGAGGTTTGTCTCCTGTTGAGATATTAGACCCCGTCATAGGAATGTGGAATTTCCACCATTGGCTGTGCAGGGCTATAACTAGGAGATGAGCACCAATGTCTCAGCAGGAGATCACCTTTGACGTATGAACAAATCTTGTGTTAATATTAGGGCGCCACGGTGGCTTAGGAGATGTTAACTCCCTCGCCTGGTATGCAGGAGGTCGTGGGTTCGATCCCGATCCTGACGCCTGCTGCTGCTGTATATTTGAAGTTTGCGGTGTCTCTCTCCCCGTGGTCGGGTGGATTTTTCTCCGGGTCCCCGGGTTTTTCCCCTCCACATTTAGAATCAACATCAACGCGTTCAGAGTATTTGGCTGCTGTACATTTCCACGTGACGATCATTTGCGATAGGTCGCTTCTGAAAAATAGGTATGCAGCTCAGTGGGGCCTTGCCTGGTAAAATAAAAAAAAGAATAAAATGCTTTTTATAGTTTAGTTTTTAAATTCACCCTGTGATGAAATACTTCGTAGGACGTCCGAAATGCCACGCACATTCGCGAGTTTCACCAGCTTTGCGACCGACCGCGCCATTGCCGTGGTGAGGCGCGATGCCAAGTTTCCAAAAATAACACAAGAGAGGCCCAAAGATAAACTTTTAAACTTGAACCTTGAAACGCCGCATGGGCCGGACCCTCTGATCTGGCCCCGGCGACTCCCGTCAGATGTTTGCTCGAAAGGCTAGACGTGAAATTCCAACCGTCCGTGCCGTCTGCTGGCTTTCAGATTGCATCACGGTGTCCGTCCGATGGAAGCCCACGGGTGAATCGGAATGGGGAGTCTTTATTTGGACTGGAGGAGGAATCCGATGAGCTATGAAGCTCTTTTTTTCACAGGTGTCCAACGAGGGGGCGTGGGTCGGCGGGTGATAACAACAAACGATGAAAAAAAACGTCGGTAGTGGAAAACTAGAGAAGTCACTAAGTATGAAAGGGTGGCTTGGAGGGCATGGTTTTACAAATTGGATCGTATTGGTATAGCTTAGGGCAGGCTGAGGGCAGCTTAGGGGTCAGTCAGAGTACTGGACAGGCACAGCTGAGGACCTGGGTTCAAATTCATAGAGAAGCACACGTGTGGCATATACAGGGCGGCACGAAAGTCAGGACACGTCGGTTAATATTCATTTTAACAAGTGTTCAAACTGACTTCCGTCAACACTCATGTACGATGCATTAATTCTCTTTTTGAAGATGATTTTGTTTTAAGATTACAGCTGCCTTCTTTTACGTGCATAAATGCTAATTCAACTCGTTCGCAAATTTCATTTCCACTTTTAAATGTCATCTGAAAAGTAATAATGAGAAAAGTAGATATTAATAATGATAACAGATCACATACTAACTAATTAGACATTTAAAAATGGTTTAATGCCAGTCTTAAAATAAATTAAATAACCCGATGTTTCGTGACTTTCGGGCCAACCTGTAGAGTCTCTAGAGCCAGGATCTGGAGCAACGTACTTTCAAATAATCTAGATTTAAAATATAATTTCTTTAGAGCTGCCTTTGGCGTGTTAGTTTGTTTCCCTTCCACCGCACCTCGGATTGGCACGGCCGGTTACTTACAGTGCGAAATAATTGCAACATCCGTACGTAGAGGGAGAGAGATGGGAGGCAGGGCCGTTCACACGGTGAGACATCCTGGGTTCGAATCCAGGTTCCAGCTCAAGTGCAAGCCAGCTGCTGTTGGTCCCAGCTGGGTCCAAAACAAAATAACAAAATCCCCATCCTATTGTCTTAAACCTTGACTTTTCGTTAAATTTGGCAGAATTAAACGCGTTTAATTGCCCCGACTGCAATTGCAAATCCTTATGCTTCTCACGACGTAACAATATCTTGCAAAACATCGCAGCATCTCCATTGCCGTGGAGACCCTCCCGGGTCACACACACACAGGCAAGTACAAAGATCCCCCGTGTAGCCCACACAGGCTATTTGGGGCAAGTGCTGTTAGCGAGCAGCACCTGTGAAGGCTGGCACGGTGCCAGCCTTCACGAGTGGGTGGGTGGCCAGCACCACGCCCGACCGCCTTTGTCTCCACAGTGGCGATGCTTACACACCGCACCAGGTACTCATCTGATGCTGAATCGACCTAAGGGAGGCCTCGGACCATTTCAGATATTTGTCACGGGTGTTGGCCGTGAGCGGGAATCGAACTCGGGTTTCTTAGCACAGCGTAGCGCTAACCGCTACACCACCGCTCCCCCATACACACATGCACTCACGCGCACACACGCATGCACACACTCACGCACACACACATGCGCACACGCGCAAGAGAAAACATGTACACACACACACACGAACATACACACACACGCACGCGTGTGCACACGCAGGCCTTCTGCGACATGGGGACGGACGGCGGTGGCTGGACGGTGTTCCAGCGGCGGCAGAGCGGCGCCGTCGACTTCAACCGCACGTGGGGCGAGTACAAGCGCGGCTTCGGCGTGCCAAGCGGGGAGCACTGGCTGGGCAACGACCGCTTGCACGAGCTCACCTGGGGCCCCGCCGGCGCTCGCCTGGCGAGGCACGGCGCGGAGGTAAAGGGGGCCGTCCATAAATGACGTGACGCGATTTTGGACGATTTGTTTTACCCCCTCCTCCCCCATCTCCTTCCTTCTTTCGTCACACGGCGTCACAAAACGTCAGACCCCCCCCCCTCCTCCTCCTTAAATATGACGTCACAAAGCTCTGCCCCACCCCCCCCCCCCCCCTCAATTGTTTTTGTTAACATGCTTCAAATCGCTTTAAACTATTGTCCTTGTAGGGCGTATTTAATGTGGCGCTGAGAAAACATTTATTAAAAAAAAAAGTCTATTTAATTAAGTAGAACGTGTTGTCTATATTTGTTTAAAGTTGCGCATTTTGATGTGACGTCACATTTCTCAAACCCCTCCCCCGTCGTCACACATCGTCACAAGTGTCCAAGTGTCTGAACCCCCCCCCCCCCAGGTGCGTGACGTCATTTATGGACGGCCCCTAAGAGCAGTCGCGCTTTTAAAAAGATATATAAATATATACGGACAGTCCCCGACTTACGAACGGGCTATGTTCCCGAGACGCCGATTGTCAGTGAACGGTTCGTAAGTCGGAACTCGATATTTAATCGTATCCGTGGAGTACACACGTATGGTAAGTGTTTTTAAAATGCGTTATGGTTCAATAAAAAAAGTGAAGCGTTAAAATCGTAAATAAGAAATATTGCAGATTTGTTTGTAACACTGCAATAAATGCTGTATAGTAAATATAATAAATAATAGTAACAATGAAAAGAAATCAGCTTTGTTTTCACCTATCTTGATCGCTTTTTGGAAGGGGTGTAATGAGTCCCAGCCAGATGCTCGCGGAGGATCACTCCGCCAAACAAAATAGTTCCGCGGTTCGGTTCGTAAGCACGACCAAACCTTATGGCGGTTATAATCTTAGCTCTTTCGGTAAAGTCACGTTGAAGGGAAACAATAAAATAATAAAATATATATATAAAACAATATTGTTTTGACTTTACCGAAAGAGCTAAGAATATGAATTACTGCAGTCACGAGAGCTTTAAATCAAAACTTATGGCGGTTCTTTCGTAAGTGCGGATAATTCGTAAGTCAGACGTTCGTATCTCGGGGACCACGTGTATATACCAACCGGCAGCCCACACGCTTGTTCGTCTGTCCGTCCATCTACCCACCCGCCCGCCCGCCCATCGACACGGATACAACGCGTAACCGCGTCCAACTGCTTCATTGCATTCTTCAGCAGACGCCCGGTGAATCTTTCAGTTTCATCGGGCTCCGATGTCCGATGAAACTAAACTTGGAGCTTGAAACGCCCGAATGCACAGCAGAGAGCCACCATAGCAGAGCATTCGGTGATATATCCTGGTGCAAAGGCGAATAGCTATCGAGGCCTCGGAGATTGAGTGAATAATAGTTGGAGACTGTACAAAACACGGTGGGGCCCCCATACATTTTTATTTATTAGGGTCCCATCATGCACAGTGCAGACTCCCACTCGTCCCTTGTAAGCAGCGCTTACTGACGGGCGCATCATCATCATCATGGTCACTATCATCATTGTGTTGCTCCATGGCCCTGCAAAGTGCACCGATACCGACTCTATCGAGGGCGGTGTCGGCACGTCAGATAATGACTGATCGTGACTGATTGACCATCGTCGTTCTTTGTGCTCCCGCGCCGTCCCGCCAGCGCCGGGCGAGACGCCTCGACGGCGCCGACGCCGGCGGTGGCGGTGGCGCCGACGCCGCCGGCGGCGGCGGCGGCGGCACCGCCGGCGGAGCGAGCCTGCGCGTCGAGCTCGAGGACTGGCACGGCGTCCGTCGCCACGCGCTCTACGCGCGCTTCCGCGTGGCGCCCGAGCGCGAGCGCTACCGCCTGACGGCGCGCGCCTACCGGGGCGACGCCGGCAATGCCCTCACCTACCGGCGCGGCTACAGCCACGACGGGCGGCCCTTCTCGACGCCGGACCGCGACCACGACGCGTACGCGGCGGGCAGCTGCGCCGCCTACTACGCCGCCGGCTGGTGGTTCGACGCCTGCTTCGCCGCCAACCTCAACGGCCGCTACTACCGAGGCGGCCGCTACCGGGGAGCCGTCACCGACGGCATCTTCTGGGGCACGTGGTACCTGCTGAGCGACTACCGCTCGGGGCGCAAGTACACCTTCAAGTTCGTGGAGATGAAGACGAGGCCGGCGGATTTCTGAGAGCGGAGGCCGAGCGCCGTCAGGTCTCCCCATCGCGACGGGCGTTTGTGTTTTTTTTTGTTTGTGCGCGACGGGAATTGGATGCGTTGCGACGGACGTATTAGGGAACACGTTTTTGTTGTTTTTTCGTAACGAGAACGCGATCGAGCGAACGGAGCTGTGTCACGCGAGTAGGAATAGGCTGCCTCGGCGCAGCATCATCGCACGAGGCAGCGGGGTGCTGCTGGATGTTTCTAGATGCTGCCCACGCGCCTCAAGTCTTTGTTCGGCCTGCGTACGCATCTCGCGGGTTATCGCGGACTGTGCTTTACCCTATAATATATTAATTACAACAACGCGATTCTTCCGCAACGCGTTGTTCTTTAGGAACGCAACAACTACCGCGGCATAGGAGAACAGACTGCGCAAAAATCTGTGCAGGCAGTCGTCCTCCAACAACAACGGGGAGCAGAGGAGCGACATTCACAATGAGCGGAGCGCCGGGCGGCTAAAACGGAGCAAGTTGGCACAGTAAGGGCTACAGCTGCCAGTCATCTCAGTCAGTTGACGCATGGCACCACCTGCGTCTGTTCCGTGACCTCCTGTCAGCAGCGAGTCTTCGACACTTCACGTGGCCTCACCACGGGCACCTGGCCCGGCACAGGCGCCGTGGCAACGTCACCGTCACTTAGTGGCGAATGGCGGCTGTTGCTTTTGGATACGGAGGTGGGGGGGGGAGGACCGCTGGTTGGAGACTTTGAAGCCGCAGTCGCCATGGCAGAACAGTGAAGGCTGCGTTGGCCGGTGATCTGTTTTGTATGGATTTATTTATTTCCGATGTCGTTCCATTGCAGGCGTGCATTTTCAAGTTGTGTTGGTTGCATCGCACGTGCGGGGATATTCAAAGGCAATTGTATCCCGAAAGCATGCTCAGCAGGCGCAGGGAGACTCTCTGCGATAAAGGACTTTTTTTTGTACATATCCATCTTCACAAAATGTCACTGGAAATGAAGATGCAGCATTTTGTCTGATAGAGGGGCTGTGGTGGTGATTGTCCGGAGGTGGGGGTTGGCGGACCATGGCTGGAGACTTTTTTGAGGCCTAGTACACAGCACCGGTCACATTGTTCGATAGCCACGCAAAAGCCGCTGCTGCTGTTGCTGCTGCGAGGATGGCCGGGAGTTCGCCGTGATGCTGGTTCATGCTCCTTGACACAGCTCAGCGGAAGGGACAATTATCGGCTTGAGAATTCACGTATTTTGTATTTTAAGCACTGCTTCGTGGGATTTGTAACGAAAAAAGTTTATTGCAAACGCCGCGTGTTGGCTGATGTAGAACGACACGAGAATTGCAGAGGCTGACGAAGCTGATGGCAGAATATTGTTTATTACCGGAGCAACTCTTCCGTGCAGGATTTTGATGCAGTGGGACATTAAACATTTTGTACTAGTCCATGTTTTCAAGTCTGAGTCGTATTCAAACACTAAAAAAAAAGGATGCAATTTCTTTACGAATTTATTGGCTCTAGAGGGAGACCGCAAAGCTCAGAGGGCAGAGCGTCCAACCGGCAACGCTGAGGTCCTGGGTTTGAATCCGGATTGAAGCTGTTGCTCGTGGTTAAACTGGGTTCAAGCGTAACGGATTGATGGTCTCAAAATTAAACACATCATTTGGCGATTCTGCATTTGGAAGCTATGCACAATCAATAACAACAAACACGCTCAACGCATTAAGTTTACGACGTAGGCTTTCACGACCAATATTATTTATAATAAAGTTTTTTTGTGTTATATCGCATAAATGTAAATGTGTCGTTAACCCACCACCACTTTATACCAATTAGTAAGGTTTGCCACGTAAAGAAAACGTGCCAATGAGTTACTACTTCAGCACACCGGTACGTTGGAGAGTAAACCCACAACATTTACAATTTGAGTACTGTGACGTGTCACTGGTGATTACAACAACAACCAGCTTCGTCAGGCGATAACCAGAAGAGTGAAGACGCCTTCCTCCTATTTCCGGTCTTAACACATTCCTGCGGAGGGAGCTGGTAGGAACGTTGGGTTGCTCGGTCAATGGCCAGGGTCAACGGCGGCATCACGTGGTGTATTCCGCAAATATGCCCGACTGTGAGGGCGGGCACAAGCCGGCGTGAGTAGGTTAAACGTTGAGTTTTATAAGGGCACCACGGGGTGACCAGCCCCTCCCCACCCAGCCACTTCCCTCCCACCCCCCACCCAGCCCTCCCCTTCCCACCCAGCCCCTCCCTCCCCACCCAGCCCCTCCCCACCCTCCCCTCTCCATCCAGCCTCACCCCTCCCATTTTTGGATGCACGACGGACGGACACAATAATCCCCTGTGGGCTGGTGGTGTAACCAGGAGGTTCCTACCAGTAATAGAGGCGTAAATGTGTTGTCATCACTGTGAGGTGCGAAGACCAGAGGGAGGTTAATGTAATGTAACATATGCATTTAAATGGATTACATTATTCATTAATAACACTGTAGCATTCAAAGGACAAGTATATAATAGGCGACGTTTAGGGCTATGGGCTCATTCACACCGCGTAGAAATTGGCCAGAGAGGTAGAGTGGATACGAGCTGGAGATATCCACTCTTCCTCTCTATGTGCTGTGAAGAAGGGTCATTACCTGAAACGTCGCCTGTTATTGTACACTTTTCATTTTGGGGCTGCAGTGTCATTGACGCACGTGGTGAGTTGTATGCGTGTATGTTTAACTCCTTTTGCACCGTACGTAGTCAACCGTGCTGAACGGAGGTGCCGGGGAAGGACAACAAACTAAACACAAAAAGTACTTCTAAAAAATTTGAGATTTCAATCGAGATGATTTCAAAGTACACAGTTCCAGCGGATTCCTAATATCGGAAGCAAGAGTGTTCCAGACGGTTCCGGATGCGCATCCGAGAGTGAGCGATGCGGTGACCGTCTTTGTTTGATGACGAGCCAAAATCCGCTGCTGCAACGATGACCGGGGGAGTTTGCGTGATGATGTATGCCCCTTGACGAGATCAGCGAGGTACTGTGGTTCATTTGTGGCAAGCACTTTGCGCGTGTAACGAGTGCGACACCTGATAACGAAGGATTCGTTCGGCAAACCAGAACACGATGCAGTTCGGCGAGCACTGGACGCACGCGGTCACAGTTATTGGTCTCAGCACGGTCACCGAATGACTACACAACAACAACAAAAACACCCATCGCAGTCAATTTAGTTTCGTGCTCCATTTGTCTGTGTGCCAGCTGCGAGAGTTAAAACATCACAGCTTGACTGCGGAGCGATAAACAATCGCGTAGCGGAGTTTGGGGCAGAGGAGAACGAGGGGACTTGAAGGAGTTTTTAAAATCTCCTTTGACCCGACCCACCGCCCCTGCCCCCTTCTGCAGCCTGTTGTGGCACACGGGGTGATGCGCTGCTCCCTGTGAGATTGTGAAACACGGGGTGATGCGCTGATCTCTGTGAGATTGTTGTGACACACGGGGTGATGCGCTGAACTCTGTGAGATTGTTGTGAAACACGGGGTGATGCGCTGCTCTCTGTGAGATTGTTGTGGCACACGGGGTGATGCGCTGCTCCCTGTGAGATTGTTGTGACACACGGGGTGATGCGCTGCTCTCTGTGAGATTGTTGTGACACAGGGTGATGCGCTGATCTCTGTGAGATTGTTGTGACACACGGGGTGATGCGCTGCTCCCTGTGAGATTGTGACACACGGGGTGATGCGCTGATCTCTATGAGATTGTTGTGACACACGGGGTGATGCGCTGCTCTCTGTGAGATTGTTGTGGCACACGGGGTGATGCGCTGATCTGTGAGATTGTTGTGACACATGGGGTGATGCGCTGCTCTCTGTGAGATTGTTGTGACACACGGGGTGATGCGCTGCTCTCTGTGAGATTGTTGTGACACACGGGGTAATGCGCTGCTCTCTGTGAGATTGTTGTGACACACGGGGTGATGCGCTGCTCTCTGTGAGATTGTTGTGACACACGGGGTGATGCGCTGCTCTCTGTGAGATTGTTGTGACACACGGGGTGATGCGCTGATCTGTGAGATTGTTGTGGCACACGGGGTGATGCGCTGATCTCTGTGAGATTGTTGTGGCACACGGGGTGATGCGCTGCTCCCTGTGAGATTGTTGTGACACACGGGGTGATGCGCTGCTCTCTGTGAGATTGTTGTGACACACGGGGTGATGCGCTGCTCTCTGTGAGATTGTTGTGACACACGGGGTGATGCGCTGATCTCTGTGAGATTGTATCATGAATGCTGTCATCTCGTAAGATGGCAGCGGCGCAGTTGGAATTGGGGACAATTTACGAACATTCGACTTTTAATTTTGCTACACGTTTTTATCAAAATCAGTCTCCCCCACTGTATGTCAGCTATGGGGGTTGTTTGACCATACTTCACCGCGTTGGTCAGCGCAGGTTGATACGTAATTGGGGGGGTGCACAGGATTGGTTCATGTATCACTCGCCATCGATGTTTGCTGTGCCTGGGAATCAAACTCAGGTCATGTGATGGTCTGCGAACAGTGCATTGTGCCAATCGTTGTGCCTCCACTTGCCCCATCGTGATGATTAAACAAAATAATAAATTATATCTTTGTATCCTTGCTCCATATGAAGCTATGTTTCCTTTTTAACATTTTAATTTGACTTATAAACATCTACCAAAGTTATTATTGTCGCGTGCAAAAATAAGTTTCCATTGAAAAGTAACAGCCATTTACTCAAAAGCATTTTAATGAAAGGCGGCGACGTCATTTTACAAAATCCTTCAAGGTTTTTCAAGTTTTACGAATAACGAGCAGATGACAACAATGCGTCAAAGCGACGTGTCACAATAAAAGTCCCTACGAGTTCAAACAAACCAAACACGATTACCACTGGCATCCTCACCCTCTCTTCCGTATCGCTCTCAGTTGAGCAAAAGGTGCAGCCCTGCATTTGTCTGCTCACAGCCACTGCTGGCAGAAGGGCCTGCGCTGGAGGGAGCTCTGGAGAGGCCCTCGAGCGAGTCCCTCTAGAGCAGCGGTCTCCAACCTCCCGGGCCACGGACCGGTACCGGTCCGTAGGCTGTTAGGAACCGGGTCGCACAGTAGCAGGAGGTGAGAGCGGTGAGTCAGCACGTGGCCCGCCCCCCATTATTTTATTATTTACCACTTCCGTCCGCGGCTCTTTCCCGCACTACGCACTCAGTCTCAGTCACAGTTTTGGTAAACCCACAAGCTCTAACCCCTAGTAGCCACAATGAGTAAAAAACAAACGTCACTGGAGAGCTTCTTTGAAAAGGGGGAAAGACCCAATGATGAACCACCCCCCCCCACCCCCCCCGGTCCGTGAAAAAATTATCTTCCACGAAACCGGTCCCTGGTGCCAAAAGGGTTGGGGACCGCTGGTCTAGAGGGTCATTCTTTGCCTGCTCTTCCACGCTCGCGAGTCATCTTGGAAGAGTTTGGGGTACTTATGATTTACCCCCGCACCTCTCGCCAGTCGACTACCCGTGGTGCACACATTTATATTGCTGTGTGTACGTATGAATGTATGTATATTGAACTTCTATCGCACCATACGTAGCCAACCGTCGTAATCGGAGGTGCGAGGGAAGGACAACAAACTATGCAATATATGTATGTTGAACTTCTGCACTACGTGTGGCCAAATCGTGCTAATCGGAAGTGTGGGGGAAGGGCAACAAACGATGGACGTATGTTGAGCTTCTTTCGCACTGTGCGTGGCCAACCGTGCTAAGCGGAGGTGCGGGCAGAAGCGGGGGGTGGAATAACAAAAAAAATACTCCGTATTGTTTCAACTGCTGCGCCAGGAGAAGCAAACGAGCTGTACATAACCGTGGCGGCATCGCTGAATTGGGTAGTAATCATCAGTTGACGTCTTAGTTAGAAATCCAGCGGATGGCTTTAGAGGCGAACGCCAATCTTTAAAATAAAGAGCCACACAGCTCAGTGGGCCTTAGCTGGTAAAATAAAAAGTGTATCGTTTAGTTTTAAAAGTTGTAACAATACAATAATGCTGATGGGAGAGTGTGCCCACCGTGGAGAAGGAGCAATAAGATTGGCTCGTTTTCAGGTGTTTGAGTGGATTGTTAGAAATCCAGCGGATGGCTTTAGAGGCGAACGCAGCTCTCAAAAAGAGCTAGACAGCTCACTGGACCCTACCTGATAACATAAACAGTGTAGTGTTTAGTTTAGTCCAATGGAAGCCGTTACACGCCGGACGACAATCGCCGGACCTTGGCACTGATGTCGTCGTACGCCAGCCGGAAAAGTTCGTCCGGGGGATTCGTCCCGTCCAAGTAAGGTTCTGTGGGGCACAGGGACCCCAATTGGTACAGCAATGCCACCCGTCTGAGATTCAAAGTCAAAGCTGTGTGTCCTGTTCATATGAGCGTTGGAGGTGAATGATGGGCTCGGTCAAATCACGACCGGATTTTGAACTGGCAATATTCCGATTGCGATCCGCTCGCTCTCCCGCCGAGTCAGAGCGCGCGATTCGGGTGAGGTCGACGTCCGGGTGTTAAGGCGTCGCACAAAACACGTCGCGATGGAGTCGTCCGTCATGAACACCGCTTTGCAATGGGAAGCCTACCAAGTTTTGAGCAATGGCCCTCCTTCTTGGCAGTACTGTCAACGTAAAATGTGAAGCTTGCTTTTGGACAAGAGCGAGTCAGGCTTATGGCTATTCAACCAGATTTACAGAGACATCAAAATCCAAAATTGGTGGGGCGATATTAATTGCTGAAACAACAAATCGTAACACCCACACGTCTTGTCTTTTTAAAATTTTCCTTTTGTCGGTATTCCCCAATTATATCCCTCTAGTGTTCTCGGTGACATGTTACCTCTATGCCATGCGGTAAAGCGTAGCACCTTCCTAATCTCTCTGCATATGAAAATAAGGTTCGCTGCATGACAGCCAAACCCATATTTTAAATCCCCGAAACTGGAATCGAGCGACATTCAGTACAGAACAAAATGTAATGTGATGTGTTATTGTGTGATCATTGATGAATTGGGCTGAGCCCATCAACTCACTGCACTTAAAAACCCGGTTTAACCATGTGGCAACGTGGAAACACCTGTGCCTCACAGCCCAAAGGACCTGAGCTCAATGACTGACTCGGGCATCTATCTACGTGGGATTTGGCATCTTCTCCCCCTGTTCTGCACGGGTTTCCTCCGGGTTCTCAATTTTCCTCCCAAAGCTAAAAGTACACAATGCACCTGTTGTTGGCCAAACACCCCAACGCAGGACCCTCCTGAAAGAGAGCCATCGGACTCAGCTTTCCTGGGTTAATAAGCAATGATTATGAGTGGATATATCGATGTACGCTCTGTTCTCCTACAAGGCGTGTTTTCATAACGCGAAGTGGATATAACGCGATTGAGTGGACAGAACTACGTCGCGCGAGTAGGAATAAGCGGTCGCGCGGCTGCCTCGGCGTAGCATCATCGCACACGAGGGATTGGGATGCTGCTGGATGCTTCCAGATGCTACCCACGCGCCTCAAGTCTTTGCACAGCCTGCGTACGCACCCCACGTGTTATCGCGGACTGTGCTTTACCCCCACGATACACGTTAAGCATTGCAACGCGATTTTTTCCATAACGCCGTTCTTCTTCAGGAACGCAGCAACTACCGGGTTACAGGAGGACAGGCCGAGCGCATGTATCAAAAGGCAGCGGCTGCCTTGATTCGAACCCAGGATCTCAGCAGCGCTGGCTCAACCCTCCGACCGGCGGGCCACTCGGCCACCTCTCGGTAAATTAAACTTTTACACTGCAAGGGGCCTTACCGATGTCCACGCCGAGGCTGCGAATCTCTTCCTTGTGCTCGAGGTACATCGGCCAAACGTGGCCCTCGAAGTAACCGGGAGGATCCTCGGGGCAGTATACCCTGGTGCTGCGGACCGAGGAAAATCGAAGGGAACACCGCGGACACACACAATCACCTGGCGAGCCGATGCGAGCGAGGATGATGCCTCGGTGCAATGTCCTTTCCCCGCGCCTCCAATTAGCACGATTTGCTACGTACGGTGCGAAAGACGTTCCATATACACTGGACTTGGAATCCAAAGGTCGCCAGTTAGATCTCCCTGCACGCAGCCGTTTGAAACCACGGACATGATTTTTCTTAAATTCAGCCGGCCTCTATCCAACCGAGCGGTATAAGTGACTACACCACGGTTATTTGATCGGCAGGACGCCTGCGATGGCATTAAAGCGTGGGCACTCCGATCTCTCTCGAGACGGTTGGGCAACGTGGAAGAGTAGGCCAAAGTACCCTCTCTCTAGAGCTACCTCTACTGGAGGCCCTGTCGCCAGCAGTGGCATGAGCAAACAATTACAGGGCAGCACCTTTACCTTACACGTATGGCATTCACCTCCGATTAGCACGGTTGGCTACGTACGGTGCGAAATAAGTTCAACATACATTCAACTCCTTTGTACAGTCCGCGTTGCGCATCTGTTGTTCACTAAGCAAGCAAGGCTTTTACCATCTCCAGGATTATGTCGAAAAGTCTCTCTGTTCACATGAGCAATGGGGTGGTGCTCACACCCCATCGCGACACCTGAGCCAACGGTGGAGATTCTACATTCCCATGGAAGGAGCCAGTCGCTCCGTAGCACACGCTAAGTGGCGGTCAGTTTATAGACCTTTGTAAGGCTGATGGGCCCGTTAAAGAGTAATTGGTGCTGTCGTCGGTACCGAATGAAATCTCACCTTCGTCTCCTCTTGGCTTCGTCGAACGGAACGGTCAGCAAATATCGGAGGTCGAACACGTTCAAAAGCGGCCTGAGAAGACAAAACCGGTGGCATCACTCGCGAGGTGGGAAAGGAGGGGGTGTGGTGACACCACACAGCTGTGGAATACCGCAACTCGAAGAACCACAGATTTCGAGTACGCGGTCGACTCCTCATCCTCCCCCTCCCCATGCTTCCAGAATCCACGTCGTTGGCTCACGGTCACGGCGCGTCGTCGGTGGTGATGAGCCTCTGCAGGACACGCATGACAGATCCGAGTCTCTTCCGGGGGGGGCCAAGACACACCTGTACACGTTAAGCAAGGGGAGGCGTTCACTCACCTGTAGGTGAACATGATGACACACCTGTACACGTTAAGCAAGGGGAGGCGTTCACTCACCTGTAGGTGAACATGATGACACACCTGTACACGTTAAGCAAGGGGAGGCGTTCACTCACCTGTAGGTGTACATGATGACACACCTGTACACGTTAAGCAAGGGGATGTGTTCACTCACCTGTAGGTGTACATGAGAAAGCCCTCGATGAGCAGGATGTGGGGAGCGTCGGGATCGTATTGCAGGGGCTGACTGGTGATGTGGGACTCAGAAGGCAATTCCTTGAATCCAGAGGGGTCTTTGATCCACGCGTTCACAACGTTCATCATCGCGTCCATGTTCAAGGCGGTGATGACTGGTGTGAAATAAAAATACGTGCGCGAGCACACTCGCCAACGGCAAAACTAAAAACATTTTTTTATTTTACCAGGTAAGGCCCACTTCGCTACGTAGCTCTTATTAAGAAGTGACCTGGCCACAAATGATAGCTCAACGAAGTGGCTTATCGTGTAGACATTTATAGCAGGAGGGAAAAACCGGAAGACCCTGAGCAAAATCCAGGCGACCACGGGGAAAGAGAGAGAGAGACACGCCAACTTCAAATATACAGCAGGGGTCACGGTCGGGGTAGAACTCACGACCTCCTGCCTACCAGGCGAGGTAGTTAACATCTTGCCACCGTGGTGTCCCACACATAGACGTACGCAGCGACTACAACATAAGACGGCAAAAATATGTTTTTTTTTATCGTCCTTCCCCTACACCTCTGAATATGGGGCAAAAGAAGTTCAACATACATACATACATATACATACATTGTGGTGAATAATAAACCTTGAAGGTGGATAACAAATCCGTTCGTACCGTCATACTGGTAAAAGCCATTTGAATCCACCACAACTTCTTCTGGAGGCTGAAAAATAGTAAAAATTCACAATTAACCTTCCGCTGGCATTTGACCATTTAGAACACAATGCCAAAATTAAGTCGTGCAATTAGTTTAAAAGGTTGGGGAAAAGGTGCGGCCCTGCTATTGTTTGCTCACAACCACTTCTGGCAGAAGGGCCTCCACTCGAGGGGGCTGAAGATGGTAATTTTTGGCCTCTACAATGGTCAGTTGTCTTCAAAGGGGCAGGAGTGGTAACACTTTACCCTACTAAACTAAACTTGTCGATGGACTATAACTGTAGGGAAACCACTTCACATCGCAACGTGGATATCAGCAGAGTGGGGGGGGGGGGGGGGGGGGGGGATTTGACAAACTTGTCCCAATGTTTCAACCGCCGCACCAGGATGTTGAATTGAACCGCAGATCTCTGGATCGCAAGTCCAGTGTGCTCTTCATTACACTGTGGCCGTGTTTCACTATTCCCACACGCGCCCTGCTGAAGAGATGTTCTCCACATGACAGTGAAAGCAAAAAAAAATCTTAATTTGAATCTGGAATTTGTTGATAAATTGTTGGAAAATAAAATGCAACACGATGTTTTTGTACGTGCAATTGGTAGTTACCGGGCCAAGACCACCAACCATCAACTCACTTTAACTGAGAACCCGGTTCAACCCTTTCCCGATCCGATGATGTACGTGCATGTCTGGAAGCAAAACTAAAATAAAATAACATTGTCGGTACCGATGCTCCCGCAAGGCCACGCGGGAGGGCGTGCGGTGGCACAGTTTGGCGCCAGCTATCATAGAGCGCGGTCGTGTCGCTACGGTTCTCTGCGGTGAGTAGAATGTCTGAACCGCTTGCGTGCTCCGAGATTCAGCGGTGAACGGGACACCCACCCTGCCACTTGCGGTCATCCTTGGAACGGGAAATGGTTAATTACGCAAGGACAGAACCCAGATTTGCAACCAGGATCATGGCAATGCTGGCTCAGTGCTACCACCCGTGTATTTCAATGTATACGTGAGGGCCTTTGCACGGCTTTAAAATTCACATCTCCCCACAACTTCCACCGTATAGTCCAATCTTCTTTCATAAATCTATTGCCCAGCTCCTCTCTGATATGTACCCCAGAGACCCACCCCTTGGTCCCGATAGCCCCACCTTTCCTGTTGGAACAGGCACCACGAATTCAACCGTTTAATTTTGTACACAAAGAGAACGTTGCTTTGTACTTGCTTTGCACTTGCCTTGAAGAAGTCATCTTGGTGGATGACTTTGCAGTTGGGCAGTGCCTTTTGAAGTCGGAGGCTTAAGGAGGTTTTACCTGCATTGGTCACACTGGGAGAGATCGCGCTGTGTCAAAGTTGGCTCCGTTTGAGAGGCCCGTGCCTCCTGGCCACATCAATTTGTGAGTGAACGCGATGGATTGCAGCGTTACTTTAGGCCGGGTGGTGGTGGTGGTGGTGACGCACGTCTGGAATTCAGCACTGTGGAGGCAGCAGCTAGGGTTGTTGGATCACCGCATAGATATATATTCTTAGCTCTTTCGGTAAAGTCACGTTGAAGGGAAACGACAAAATAATAAAATATATAGGAAAAACAATAAAAATTCTCACGACGTTTCGACCATAACACAAACGGTCGACCGTTTTGTGTTATGGTCGACCGTTTGTGTTATGGTCGAAACGTCGTGAGAATTTTTATTGTTTTTTATATATATATTTTATTATTTTATTGTTTCCCTTCAACGTGACTTTACCGAAAGAGCTAAGAATATGAATTACTGCAGTCACGAAAGCTTTAAATCAAAATTTCACCGCATAGATGTTGCGAAACTCCCCGCGCGTGTGAGTCAAAGTGGCATAGCCTGGCTCGCCAGGAGATGGCGGCACGGCAAAAGTATGTAGACTAAAACTAAATAATTCAACTATTGTTATTTTACGAGCCTACTGGGATATATAGCTCTTTATCAGTAGCGACCTGGCCACAAATGAGAGTTCAACGAAGTGGCCCATCGTGTGGAAGTGTATAGCAGCCAAATACTTTAAACGCATGTTTCTAAATGTGGAGGGAAAAACCGGAGGACCCAGAGAAAGATCCACACGACCGTAGGGAGACTGTGCAAACTCCAAATATACAGGTGTCAGGGTCGGGATCGAACCCAGGACCTCTTGCATACCAGGCGAGGTAGTTAACATCTCGCCACCACAACGTTCCGAATAATGCGCGGTACAACTCCAAAACACATTTGGAGAAAAACACAGCACCCCCGATTAGCATGACTGGCTACGTACGGTGCAAACGAAGTTCAACATACAGTACCTACAGTACAACTGTTGTATAAGGATGGGCAGATAACAGTAAAGCAAGTGGGTTTGTAAACTTTTGAGTGCAATTGTGCACCTGTTTGAGTGTTAACGTCTACTTGTGCGCACGGTGTGTGCAATTGTCGCTGACCCCTTGACCTTGGGGCCCCTGTACTTAGCAACTGTGTTAATAAACAATCATTGACAAAGCCCAAGTGAACCAATTGCTCAAACATCCCAGTGCACGACTCAAACGAACAGAACATCTTGAGGCCCGGCGAGTCGTTCCTGGATAAATAAATGGCCGGATTACGGGAATCATTATTATTACTATTCGGTGATAATCTGCATCAAAGCGTTGACAATTATTATCCCAAACCGTGCTCAGGTGCCATACGTGTGCACAATCAAGACACTCACCCACTAATGCCGATGACGATCTTCTCTTTGACCAGCATTCCGCTCGCTCACTCGCTCGCTCTCCCACGCGCTCGTTCGCTCACTCGCTCTCCGTGCCGTCTGCCGTGTGCCTCACTCAGGCACCGGTGGTCACGGGCCGGGGACTCCACTTCCCGTCCCCGCTCCCTGCTCGACAGCGAAAGGGGATACTATCACAGGGGGTTCGGAGGTCAATGAGACACGGGGAAACAAACAAACGGCCTCGTGGCGTCTCCTGACTGGAGCGGGGTTATGCCCCCCATGATGAAGCCTTAACCCTCCACTCTCCCCTTCTTGTTTCTCATTCGAGTCGAATGAAATACAATTCCAGGGATAATGTTTAACAGCAGTGGCGGTTTCTTTTCAAAGTTTGACGGTTTGGCGATCACCCACAGGCCCACGGCCATAAAAAAAAACACACGCGCGTCTGTGTGCCGCGGTGAATCACTCTGTAACGGGATGAAAAGAATCCCGTGACTGGACGAATGATGCTTCAGCTCAGCGAAGCGGCAAACACTTGTGGGATGGACCGCGGCCACTGAAGGCGCTACAACATATAGGCTCACCTATGAAGCACCGCGGTGTGCTGAAGTACAATTCATAGATTGGGTTATTGCGGCCTTTCCTCAGTGGGGTGAGAACAAGAGCAGAATGTACGGCAGACACAGGCAGATTGTATCGGTTGCTCGTGCTGTTCAGCGAGCAACATTATGTTTAAAGTTTGTTTAACAACGACCGGGTCGTTCCTCCCTTCGCTAAGGTTGTGTTTGCCCCACTTAAACGCAAGGTCACGCTGCAGAATTGGAGTCAAGCCCTGCTTGCTTGTCGCTGGCAATGAACAAGCTTGGGATGTACCATGTTATCGCGCTTTTGTTAACCCACCGCCGAATTGTAATTGCCATAAACGACCTGTAACGGTGATGGCAATTACAGATTAAAAGGCTTCGTTCAATTGTGCAAGTCGGACGTGAAAAAAATACACTTGATTAATATATAGTCCACGACCCTGTGTAGTGACGTGAAATCCTCGAGTCACAGATGGTCAATATTTCTTTAAATTACACGGGCATATCTCGTATTTGTCACAAAAGTGTTACATACGTTGAACTTCTTTCGCACCGTAAGTAGCCAACCGTGCTAATCGGAGGTGCGGGGGAAGGACAACAAACGAAACACAGAAAGCAGTTCTAAAAAAATTAGCTTTCAATACAAATTAAAGAGCATAGCTCCAGTGGCTTCCTAATATCAGAAGAGCGTTCCAGACGGCCACAGAAACGCATCTGAAAGCGTGCGATGCGGTGACCGTCTTTGCTCGATGGCTAGCCATAATCCGCTGCGAGGATGAGCTATATGGATATTAATAATTGACGATGAATGACCTTTGGCAAGCTAAACTTTTGAGTGTTTTAGAGATAACCAGTGATCTGAGCATGCACTGTTCGTTCTGTAATGCACTGGCCATGATTACGCTGTGTGCATTGTCAACCACGTGGCTTCTAAATTTTAAGGGAAAAACAATGTCTATGAAACGCGCATTCTTGAAATGCACATAATTGATTGTTTTGCATTTTTCTAAATTGGAACAAAAAAAGTATATACGTATGTAGAAGCTATGCTAACAACTTCCGGTGATATGCTTACATGACTGTGTTATTTACTGTTAAGAAAACTAAGGGGGCTTGGGCAGGACACGTTGTTAGAAGGGATGATTGCCGGCAGTGTAGCATAGCTGATATTTATTTAGAAGATGACCTAAGTTGGACATCTTCAGAAAGGTGCCCGATAGGTTTTTTTGGGATAACGCACAAAGGCAGCGTGCTTTTCACACGTTATTAAAACTAAAAACGATTAAATCTTGATTCGAAAGCTTTCGTGACTGCAGGAATCCATTCTCTTTGGTTCTTTCGGTAAAGTCACGCGGGTAGAAACAATCATAGTTCACGGCGTTTCGATCGCAACGCAATCAATCGTCATCAGGCGTGACGGTCAGGCGCCCGATGACGATTGCTGGCGCTGCTATCGAAACGTTGTGATCTATTATTTTTTTTTCTACCTACGTGACCTTACCGAAAGAACCAAAGAGTATAAAAACTTTTATTTTCCAAGGTCCAGTGAGCTATAAGGCTTTTTTTCAGAAGCCACCTGGCCACAAATTATAGCTCAACGAAGTGGCTTATCATCATCATCATCACGTGGACATTTATAGCAGCAATCAAATATACTCCTCAACGCGTGACGTTGATTCTAAACGTGGAGGGGGAAAAACCCCGGGACGGCTCAATGAACGGACCCACCCCCCCCCCCCCCAAGAGAGATTCCCCCAACGAGAAGAGACGGAGCGGTGAAATCGTTTTTTTTGTGTGTGCGGGATCACATCGCAGCGTCATGCGGCTTGGGTAGGCCTTCATCCAGCAGTGGACTGAGCACGGCTGTTGCGAGTCTGTACCGTGGGGGAGTGGTGGGTGCAGTGGTTAGCCCCACGGGCGATCCGCGTTCAATTTCCGCTCGCGACCAACACACGAGTGAGGTCACGCGCGCGCCGGGGGTCCTGCGTTTCCCCTAGGTCGACTCAGCCTCGAATGAGTACTTGGGGGCCGTCCATAAATGACGTCACGCGATTTTTCGACGATTTTTGACCTCCCCCCACCCCACCACCATCGTCGCACGGCGTCACAAAAAGTCAAGACCCCCTACTCAAATATGACGTCACAAAGCTCTGCCCCCCCCCCCCTCCAAAAAAAAATAAAAACATGCTTCAAATCGCTTTAAACTATCGTCATTTTAGTGCGTATTTAATGTGGCGCTGCACTCTGATCTTGTAGGAGAAAACATTTATTAAGTAGAACGGCCGTTGGTTTTCCACACCTGATGATGGCTGTTTGCGTTAGAGTCGAAACGTCGTGAGAATTTTATTGTTTTATATTATTTTATTGTTTCCCTTCAACGTGACTTTACCGAAAGAACCAATAATGTTTTGTCTATTCTAGATTTAAAGCTTTCGTGACTGCAAGGATCCATACTCTTCGGTGTTGTGGCCGAAACGTCGTGATTTTTGTTGTTTCATTTTTTTACCTACGTGACTTTACTGAATAGAACCAAAGAGAACGTGTTGTCTATATTTATTTAAATCTGCAGCATTATGACGTGACGTCACATTTCTCACCCCCCCTCTCGTCACAAATGTCTGACCACGCCCCCCCCTCGTCACAAATGTCTGACCACGCCCCCCCCTCGTCACAAATGTCTGACCACGCCCCCCCCCCAATACCCTAGGTGCGTGACGTCATTTACGGACGGTCCCTCGGGTGCGGTGGGTAAAGATGGCGCCACTCGCGATCACCCATTTCCCCTCGCGTTCCACAGCCCCGGCCTTCACAAGCGCCTGGCCGACGACGGTCTCGGCTGAAGGCGACACGCGCGGCCTTCGTCTCTGTGCGTAGCGGTACAGGCCTCGAGGATAGCCGCACCGGATGAACGGGAAGGAAGATCGTTCGTTGCCTGAACGATCTTCCTTCACGTTCGCTTATTGCCACCGAACTAAAACGCGTGGATGTTTAAAGATACGGACACTTTGAAAGAGGGAGAATACTTTTAAAGGAACTGCAGCCCGGCTCGCGGAGGCGTTCCGACGTCTTCTTAATTCTTCTGCAGCTCAATGAAATGACGGGGACACACCCCCCCTCCCCCCCCCATCAGCCAATCAGAGGCCGGCTCGCGTGCGTGTCGACCAATCATATCGACCAAACTCTGGTGACGTGTGGGGGGGGTTCTTGGGTTTCTTTGACAACGTTGGTGAGAAACTTGGGTTTCTATGGTAACATTAAAATATTGTGTTTCTATGACAACGTGGTTCAGATTGTTGAGTTGCTGTGTCAGGATAAAATTTCTGGGGTTTGTATGACGTGAAGTTTTTGGGTTTCTGTGACAACAATTATTGGGTGTCCGTGGCAACTTGGGTGAGCTTCTTGGGTTTATATGTATTGGGTTTCGATGGTAATGTGGGTCAGATTATTGAGTTTATAAGGCATTAAATAATTGGGTTTCCATGACGTGGGTGAGATTATTGGGTTTCCATAACAACGTGAGTGAATCTTGGGCTTCTGTGACAACGTGGATAAGAATATTAGGTTTCTATGACAACATGAGATTATTGTGTTTCTATGGCAACGTGAGGTTATTGTGTTTCTATGGCAACGTGAGATTCTTGTGTGTCTATGGCAACGTGAGATTCTTGTGTTTCTATGGCAACGTGAGATTCTTGTGTTTCTATGGCAACGTGAGATTCTTGTGTTTCTATGGCAACGTGAGATGTTTGTGTTTCTATGGCAACGTGAGATTATTGTGTTTCTATGGCAACGTGAGATTATTGTGTTTCTATGGCAACGTGAGATTCTTGTGTTTCTATGGCAATGTGAGATTATTGTGTTTCTATGGCAACGTGAGATTCTTGTGTTTCTATGGCAACGTGAGATTATTGTGTTTCTATGGCAACGTGAGATTATTGTGTTTCTATGGCAACGTGAGATTATTGTGTTTCTATGGCAACGTGAGATTATTGTGTTTGTATGGCAACGTGAGATTCCTGACTGGCACGGTGTGCGGAGAAACTTAATCCGCCAATTAATTTACAAATGGCTTAAAACACATGTGATGCCTATCACACTATATTTAACAATTTACGTTACTGTATTACTATAACTTATAGACATTTATTAAAATAAACAATAGGATATACGCATGGACTCCGTATGTAGTGTTTGACATCTCTAACCGATTCCAATGTTTATGGAGCCAATCGTGGTGTATTATTAGTGCCTTCAAATGTTTGCACGCGCGGAGGGATGTAATCAGGCTCACATCCATCTCGCCAAATTTTGTCCTTATGGTACCGTGCTATCAGAGGATTTTAGGAATATTCGGTAGAGTAATACAGGGTTATTATGGATGGGTGTAACTTGTAGTCTAAGTGATAGTACTTTACGCTGATAATCCCTAATTCAAGCCAGCCTAGCAGCCTTTTGGAAATGAAGCTTTGATCAGGTCTCAGACCTCTCAAGTTTGTGTAGTGTAGACGGACGTTGCGATACAGTAATATGAAATCCGGTCTGCACTCAGGCTTTTACTCTATGGCAGGTGTGGATAATCCCGTATGATTTGTCTATCTGGAAATATTTCAGGGGTGGGGGGGGGGGGTTACCCCCTTGAGAAAAATCACAGCTTAAATCAAAGGAATATATTTTTTTCAATCTGTGCCTTTAAAATACAGACAGACCCCAACTTACGAACGAGTTCCGTTCCTCATGCCCGCTCGTAAGTCGAATGGTTCGTAAGTCGGTACACAATAATGTATACGTATTTAAATGCCCATACGGTAAGTGTTATGAAACGTGTTACGGTTCTACAAAGGGAAGCATTGTTAAGCTTCATAATTAAGAAGAAATGTTGTACATTTGCATGCAACACTGTAAACGAAAACACTATAAATAGTTTCCCGTGGTTCGGTTCGCAAGCGAGTTCACGTGACGAAATAAATATCATACGGAAGTTCGTTTTCGCAAGTGTAAATGTTCGCAAGTCGGGAGTTCGTAAGTAGGGGACTGTCGGTACCCTCGTACAATGCTAATGGATGTCTAACAAACAGACACATATGAGTGGCACACTTCACTGTGTGACGGTAAATTAAAAGGCAGAGCTTCAGCCCTGCATATATTAGTTGCTCGCACCACGACTGGCAGAATGGCATTCACGACCACCACCAAAAGAGCTCCGAAAGAGGGTCACTGGGTAAACAAAATGTGAAATAAACTACTAAACTATATTTTTATTTTACCAGGTAAGGCCCACTGTGCTCAGAAGCGACCTGGCCACAAATTATAGCTTAATGAAGTGGCTTATCACGTGGACATTTATAGCAGCCAAACACTCTAAACGCGTGCTGTTGATTCTAAATGTGGAGAGAAAAAAAATCGGAGGACCCGGACAAAAATCCATGCGACCACGGGGAGAGAGAGACGCGCAAACTCCAAATATACAGCAGCAGCAGGCGTCAGGGTCGGGATCGAACCCACGGCCTCCTGCATGCCAGGCGAGGTAGTTAACATCTCCTAGCCACCGTGATGATGTTGATGAGAGAGAGAGAGAGACACGCAAACTCAAAATACACAGCAGCAGGCGTCAGGGTCGGGATCGAACCCACGACCTCCTGCATACCAGGCGAGGTTACACTTTGGTTACACCAGCATATCAATATTTTCCATCTGCGCGTGTTTAAGGAGCCATCCATTGAGTACGTACGCATGGAGGGAGGAGGTTAACCCAAATGCGTACGCTTGCGTATGGGGGGTCTACTGACAATGCTACGTACGCATAGGAAACGGGGGGGGGCGATAATAATTTGTCTATATTGGCCTTCTAATGAGTTAGATAGTCCAGCGGTGGACTATCTGTTTGCTTTAACACGTTAATATTATTATTAATCCTTGATCGTTTCTGCGTGGATTAAATATCGGCCGTTCTATAGGATTCGGGGGGGGGGGGGGGGGGTGGGGGGTGTAAAAGGTACGCGGGCGTACAGGGACGGGGGGAGGGGGTCAAGTTTTGACAGATTTTTGGCGTACCGACTAAATGGATAACCCCTAAGCAGACAATCTCTGGACAAGTGTTTTTTTTAAAGATCTGCTTCTCGTTGGTGCTGAGCTAAAAGCGGAGGGAATTCTGCACTGGTGTTGGCAGGGATTTGTTTGTCTCGATACTTCCACGGTCAGTGGTGGTGCTAGCCCATTGGGGACCACCCTAAGCATAATTTATTTTTGGTCTGCCCCCCCCCCCCCCCCACCTCTTTTCAAGATATGAACTCCTAGTGTGATAAGAGAAGAGCTAAGACAAGAGACAGAGATGTGGTGAGACGAGATGAATATGGATCATAATAGAGGTGCAATGAGATGACAGAAAAGGTAGGGATGAGATACATTTATTTGTTGATTATCTTGTTATGTTAGTCCCGATTTGAATTCGAGCTGATATTTGATGCACCCCTGTTTTTTTTTTTGGTGATTATAAATCCGTGACCCCATGAGCCGTTTGGTGACTCGAAGCTTCCGCTTGGTTTAGGTAGAATCATCACTGTGCTGTCCACTGTTTGACTCCCCACCCGACAACACTTATTTTTGAGCATGGTATCGTGGAACTGACTCAGATATCACTCGCCACTCACGCTCGCCAAAGAGGAGCACAGTGTGCTAACCGTTATACCCCCCCCCACCACCACCCCATGATGGTGTACAAATACAAATATCCCCCGTGTAGCCCTAGTAGACGTTTGGGGCAAGTGCTGCTATCGAGCAGCTATGAAGGCTGGTACGGCACACGGGGCTGGGGGGGGGGGCAACACCACGCCAGGACAACTTTGTTTCCACAGTGGCAAAGTTTACACACCGCACCAGGTACCCATTCCCTATATACACACACACACATGCACACGCTTGCTGGTGTAGTCATGTAAACACAGCTATTTTAAAGTGAAGGTTGGTGGATGAACCCTCAACCCATTGGGTTGCAAAGCAGCAGTACAGCGAGGGGATTGGAATCCATCTGTGCGGACCTTTGAGTGTTATTTCCTCGCACAAGTTGCGCGGAGCTCTGAAGCCAAACCACTCATTAATAAAATCAGTCAAAGATGCCAATGCAGAACCCCCCTCGAAAATTAGTCCTAAGTCTCACCAAGGCGTATATCCTCAGTAAACCAGGGCGCTGCTATTAATATCCTTGCGCGTGCGTGGATTAACGTTTTGAAGTATCGACCCAGACAGAGTGCCCCTCTCTCGACCAGGGGTCGGCCAAACCTGGGGCTCTTTGGCTGCCCCCTGATGGGCAGCAGTTTAAAACAAATCCGTATAATTTAAACATAATTTAAGGTCGAGATAGTTGATTAAATATGGAAGGGGATGGGGTCAACTGTGGAATGTTTTTTGGTGAGAAGAAAATGTACAACACTCACAAACTGTGTTGTTAAAGAACAACTAATGGGAAGCAAACGCTAAATATACGCCGTTCAATCCATCACCTGTTGTGTTTAAGTCAGAATGTGTGTAGTTGTTGCCATCTGTTGTATACCCGCTGTGTTCGTGTACAAATGGCTTTGCAGCGTCTGACGCGGCTAACTGTTTCGGTCAAAGACAAAAGCAAACAAAGAATGGATTTGAAGCTTTCGTGACTGCAAGGATTCATGCTCTTTGTTTTTTTCGGCAACGTCACGTAGGTAAAATAAAAATAAAATAAATGAAAACAACTAGATTAATTCACGACGTTTCGGAGGCAACACAAGTCACAGTAAAAATCTTGACACAGCTGATTTTGCTGTGACTGTTCCATCTGAAGACGGAAGCTGGCGTTGCCTCCGAAACGTCGTGATTTAATTTAGTTGTTTTCATTTTTTTATTTTTTTATTTTACCTTCGTGACTTTACCGAATAAACCAAAGAGCAAAAACAAAGAATGGTTCTTCTCATTCAGAGAAAGGCTGCCGACCCCAGCTCTAGACAAACGCAGCTGATATCTCACCCATGCTTCTTGGCTGTACCACGTGTGCCAGATGTATTTGACAATTCCCGAAGAAGCAAAGCTCCGCACCGAGCACGTGGCCCGAAACGTCGGACTTCGTCCCGAGCAGACACGCGCGCG